TCCTGTGGGCGAAAATGCCTTGTTGATGCTAGAGGTCAGAGGAGAATGGGCCGACTGATTCAAGCTGATAGAAGAGCAACTTTGACTGAAATAACCACTCGTTACAACCGAGGTATGCAGCAAAGCATTTGTGAAGGCACAACACGCACAACCTTGAGGCGGATGGGCTACAACAGCAGAAGACCCCACCGGGTACCACTCATCTCCACTACAAATAGGAAAAAGAGGCTACAATTTGCAAGAGCTCACCAAAATTGAACAGTTGAAGACTGGAAAAATGTTGCCTGGTCTGATGAGTCTCGATTTCTGTTGAGACATTCAGATGGTTGAGTCAGAATTTGGCGTAAACAGAATGAGAACATGGATCCATCATGCCTTGTTACCACTGTGCAGGCTGGTGGTGTTGGTGTAATGGTGTGGGGGATGTTTTCTTGGCACACTTTAGGCCCCTTAGTGCCAATTGGGCATCGTTTAAATGCCACGGCCTACCTGAGCATTGTTTCTGACCATGTCCATCCCTTTATGGCCACCATGTACCCATCCTCTGATGGCTACTTCCAGCAGGATAATGCACCATGTCACAAAGCTTGAATCATTTCAAATTGGTTTCTTGAACATGACAATGAGTTCACTGTACTAAAATGGTCCCCACAGTCACCCGATCTCAACCCAATAGAGCATCTCCATCACAAATCTCCATCAACTGCAAGATGCTATCCTATCAATATGGGCCAACATGCTTTCAGCACCTTGTTGAATCAATCCCACGTAGAATTAAGGCAGTTCTGAGGGCGAAAGGGGGTCAAACACAGTATTAGTATGGTGTTCCTAATAATCCTTTAGGTGAGTGTATATTATTCCGTCTGAAAATGTTGTAGGTGGTGTGAAAACCTCTGGCCTGGCAGCAGAATACAACCATTTTAGTCGTTTTCAAGGATCTGTGTGGATGGGAATCATTTTGACAGTGGTGTCGTCTGTGTACACTTGTGTATACTAGTTGTATACTTTATACTAGTTTATATAAGAAAAACACAAAGGAAAATATTTTCCATTTTTAGTACATTGTTGTCGTGTAAACGTACCCTAAATTCATTTTAAGTTTAAGTATATTTTCCATGTACACTTTATGTAGCAAGTATATTAGTGTACTATGTAGTGTACTTATATTCAATGTACTAGTACTTGTATGTGTACTATTTCAATACATATATTGACTAAATTGGCCCACATTTTAGTTGTAAAAAAGTTTACTTTAAATTGAGTCCTTAACTAGTATACATCTAATTTACAACTAGTATACACAAATGTTTCTTTAGGATTGCAGCTATACAACTACAAAATGTACTTTTATAAACTACAAATGAGTTAGTAACTAGTAAACTAACAGTATAACTATGCCAACTACAAGTATACTTAGAATACGTAATTGTACTTTTCTTAAGTATATCTTAATCAATTAAGCACAAGCATAGGCCAAATGTACTTAGACTTTTCTGTATACTTGTCCCATATAAGCCATGTAAGTATAATTTTAGTTATATCTCTGACGAGTAGACAGAATGTATACTCTTATATTTATAGTTTAAAACAAGTAAGCTAATAGCAAACTTCTTTTTTTTGTCAGAGAAGCCAACCTTAGCACCAGCAAATATTATGTACACCGGTGAAACTGAGCTGTTGTTCGTCTGCTACTCCACTGGCTTCTCGGGGTCAGTAGTATCACAGAAGGTCAAACAGAATCGGCTGCCAAAGGGCAAAGAGAAAGAGTGGTCACATGACTCTGGATATAAACGTGTGTAAGGGGGACGCACAGGACTATGCAGGCTACGGCTAATCTGTCTAAATGGGGTTAAGTAGCTTGAAAGGCTTTTGTACTAAATGTCTGTGAGTTTTAGAAGACCGTACCATCCGACACGAAATCCAACCCTGAATCCATTATTCTGTGCTCACCTGCTGCTACGTGATGACCTGGGAGGTCACCTGTGAAAAGTACACTTTAGCATAATTGTAAAAAGAAACTATTAAGTATGACCTGAATGTAATGTTTTCGGTCACTTAATTGCATTTTAATTACAAAATGTTTACACTTTATTTTAAGGTGTCATTGTTATAGTGTAATTATATATACCTAAGTACTCAATAATATTAATTAACAACATGTACTTACTATAGGGTTGGGGTTTGGGTGAGTGTTAGTTGCATGTAATTATGCATAATTTACTATTGTAAGTACTTGTAACATTTGGAACTGTAAATAAAGTGTTACTAAATGTATTATAGTTTAAATTTATATTAAATGCAATGAGTTGCGGTTTAAGAGTGACCCAGTAGGACTTAAGTACATCTTTATATGTAATTTTATAATTACTCTTAAAGTATGTGAAATATGGCTAAAGTGTACTGGCGAACAGTGACAATCATTCATGATAAACTAAAATATCCTTTAATTCAACTTCTATCGAAAATTGTGTCATTTATTTAAATATATTTGTAACTACACATTTGTAATGATGAAGACGTTTCAGTTAAAATTACATGTGCTTTTAGTAGATGTACTTTATAGCATGACAAAAAAAAGTATTAAAACAAATATTTCAATGTACTTTTCAATGTAGATTTTACATTTCTACAAAGTGACTGTTCTAAAAGTGTGTAAAGGAAACTTGTGGCATGAAAGTGTACCCTCATTAAGTGGCCTTTTGTTTTATTAATATTATATCATCTACAAGTACAGTTAAAAAGTACACATTTAAAACAATCAAGCACACTTATTTTCACAAGGGGTTCTTATCAAAAGAAGGTCACATGTATGACTGATGTCTGAATCCACAGGGAGGAGTGAATACCGGTCTCCGTTACGGAGGGATTTACATCAAGAGTCTGATACCTGGTGGAGTGGCCGAACAAGATGGCCGAATCCAGACAGGTACATGTGCAGGTTACTGCCTTACAGAGACTGGGGATCAGTCATGGATCTGGACTGAGATTTAGTGCACTCATCTTTTCTTTAGTTCAGTAATTGGATGCAAGAATGCGTCGGTTTGGTTGAGTCACTTGTGACGACTAGGCAATGATGATTGTGTGTGTGTGTGTGTGGTGTGTGTCAGGAGACAGGCTGTTGGAAGTGGACGGCACCAGACTGCAGGGATTCACAGATCAGCAGGCGGCTGAATGTTTGGCAAGAGCAGGCGAGGTACGCTCTCTCTCTCTCTCTCTCTCTCTCTCTCTCTCTCTCTCTCTCTCTCTCTCTCTCTCTCTCTCTCTCTCGGCTCTCTCTCTCTCTCGTCTCTCTCTCTCTCTCTCTCGGTCTCTCTCTCTCTCTCTCCTCTCTCTCTCTCGGTCTCTCTCTCTCTCTCTCTCTCTCTCTCTCTCTCTCTCTCTCTCTCTCTCTCTCTCTCGTCTCTCTCTCTTCTCTCTCTCTCTCTCTCTCTCTCTCTCTCTCTCTCTCTCTCTCTCTCTCGGTCTCTCTCTCTCTCGTCTCTCTCTCTCTCTCTCCTCGTCTCCCTCTCTCTCTCTCTCTCTCTCTCTCTCTCTCTCTCTCCCTCTCTCTCTCTCGGCATCTCAGCTCAGCTGTAATCACTGCTTCCTTCTAGGAATTTAGTATAACCCTATAAAGCCTTTCATATTTGGTATGTGAATTTGTAAGGCCTCTAAATTTTCGACATGATCAAAACTTTGCTGAAAAGACCTGTTGCACACAATCATCTGGTTGATATTCCAAACTTTTTTAGGAAGTAAAATGCATTTTAGAGTCATTGTTAAAACGTCCACCTTCATCTCGTGGTTCACGTGTGTTTTTGCTGTGAAATCTTAATTGATTTTTTATAAGTAAATGTAAGAATAACTTTAATATTGTCTTTTATATTGCAAGAAGAACACTTACTGGACTGAAGCAACTTTGAATTACTTGATAATTACTTTTTTTTTATCTTGTTAAAATATGATCATCAGGCTTTTGGGGAAGGTCTATTTGTTCATCTCTCAATCATCATTGCATTGCATGTTTTTAAACTATAGAGCATTGATCATAAATCATAAGGATTTAAATATCATCTTACAACATTATTTGCAGATATATATATATATATATATATATATATATATATATATATATATATTGATGAGTCTGATGACTGATATTTATATGCATTTTATTGAAGTAATCTGATATGGTGTTATAAAGATCTCATTGACAAGCTATCAGGATTTCATATTTTTGGTCATATATATGAATAAATGCACCAAATTGCATGTTTTTGTTCTTTTTGGCACCCCTTTTTACTCCTTGAGCAAAATGTATCTCTTTATCATACTGTATGATCCATAAAAGCATGATGTATCAAATATGAAACACTCTAAACGTAATTTGTTTTTCTAAACCTATATACTGCTATTTTTTGTATGTATGCTTATCTCCATACAGTCTCCATACAAAAAAAAGACCAAAAACTAAAGATTTTCACAGAATAAAGGCTATTCAGAAAGCTTGGGATATGGTACACAAATCATATGGACTAGTTTTATGATGGTTTTTGGAGCCTGACAGATGCGGTCAGTACTCTTCAGCTGAACTGATATTAGTGATAATAGTGTGTGTGTGTGTGTGTGTGTGTGTGCAGGTGGTGAGTCTGGTGCTGGAGCGGGACGGAGGCTCTGTGCTGAGGCGAGACCCTATAAACCCTCAGTTACGGGACACACTCGCCGTCCGATCACCGAATCCCACAGGGGTGAGGAACAGCTGTCCTGCCATCACCATGACCAGACCCTTCGGCGTCAAGCCCAGAGACTACAGCTTTGTGTCGGACGGTAATCAAAAGATGCATGTAAATGCACCACTTTAATGGTATACACACTGATTCAGATTCTGTGCTGCTTTTGCAGAGCAAAGACGACTACTTACTACACCATGTGAAAAAAAATAATAATAATAATCACCCTTTTAAACCATCTTAGAATATTGTTAACATCATCAGAAGGCTAAAAATATCAGGATTTGTGCCTTTATCTCTGAGCCCATTCAAACCTCACTTTTAATAACTAAACAGGATTTTAACATGAAATCAAAATTGACAATTCTTATATTTTTATTGAATATTGCTGTATTTGTCATTCATGATTTATACATGCACATCTTTTATTTTTTTATTCATGTACCTTTAACACATCTTGAATCAGAATATCCCTAATAATGCCCTCCCTCTTGCACATCTCTTGTCTTCTCTGATCTCTGAAGGCTATTTCACTCAGATATACGTCACAATAGGAAAAAAAAGACTCGCAACGACTGTTTCATGACAGTTTTAACTCTTTCCCCAGCGTTTTTGGTCATTTTCATAAAAGTTTCATGGCCCCCCAGAATATTTTGTTGTATGAATATCTGAACATGTAATATATCAGAGATAACAGAGCCTCTATTTTTAAACAACAAAAAGAAAATATTTTAATCTATCTTCATGGATTCCTTTTCTATCAACACTTGAATGTGGAAAAGTTTCATTAAAAAAAGAAGTGTAATAGCGCCCCTATCGTACAACAGTGAAAACATGGATTGCGTGAAAATTCAGTCAATGGCGGGGAAAGAGTTAAAACCTTGGAATCACTGAGAAATCTTGAAATGTCTTATTCCCTTCTTAAACAAACAGAGGTAACACTTTTAAGGTTCATTAGTTAACATTGGTTAATGTATTAACTAACGTGAACTAACCATGAGCAATACATTTGTTACAGTATGAGTTCATCTTGGTTAATGTTAGTCAATAAAAATACAGCTGTTCATGTTAGTTCAAACTGCATTAACAAGATTTTAATAAAGTATTAGTAAATGTTGAAATTAACATTAACAAAGATTAATAAAAGCTGTATAAGTACTGTTCATTATTATTAGTTCATGCTAACTAATGTAGTTAGAAAATGTTAACTAATGAACCTTATTGTAAAGTGTAACCCAAACAGATGCCCTTCAGGATTACACACATTTAACATTTAATTTAATATTCAACAATATTATTGATCTGCCTGTATTGACACTATTATACAAGAACTGAACTGAGCTGGACGATGTCATCACAATTTACTCCAGAGCGGCTATATATATATATAAATGAACTAAATTAATAACTTTTTTAAAACAAAAAAGAAACATCACTGAATTTACTTAAGCCGGACTGTGACGCTATTTTCTTCTGGAAACAAACTTTGTTGCATTATTTTCCTGTTATCTCTGTAAAGCTGCTTTGAAACAATCTGTATTTTAAGAAGCGCTATATAAATAAATGTGACTTGACTTGACACACACACAGGTAATGTGACGTCACCTCCACAAGGCTGGCTTAAATGTGTCTAATTCTGTCCAGAGAACATTCAGGAGGTGAAACTTAAGAAGACCCTGAACGGTCTGGGCTTCAGCTTCTTCATCTCAGAGCTGGACACGTCCCTCGACTGTGGCTCCATCGTGCGAATCCGAACGCTGTTCCCAGGTCAGCCTGCGGAGGAAAGTGGCAAGATTCAGGAGGGAGACATCATTCTGTCGATTAACGGGCAGCCGCTGAAGGGATTGTCCTATCAGGTAACAAGAGCTCTTCTTTAACCAATATTAACGTGAACCGAGTGAAGGGCCAGGATTTGTTGATTATAGTCCAATTATTCATTTCTGGGCAATCAAAGTTATGTCAGCCAAGACCGTATTTACTATTAAACTGATATTTGTCCTGTGAACTCTGACCCTACAGCAAGTGCTGCAGTGTTTGAGGATTTCTCCTTCAGCGGTACAGCTGGTTCTCTGCCGTCCTCCTCAAGGTATGGAGAGAACGCACAACACCGACGATACACTTAAGCCCCGTTCACACTACACGCGACCAAGCGACGCGATACCATTCATTTCAATGGTGAGCGGGCGACTTCCGGCGACACGCGCGACAGCGACCGTTGGCGACTAGATGGGGCGTGTCTGGCGACGCGACAAAGTTGAGAAATTTTTAACATTATGCAAATGAAGAGCGATTTTCGCGAGCGACAACCAATAGGAGTGGAGCGCACGTGATCCTTCTCCTCAGCCCCTGGGCCTGCAGTGATGGATGGCAAGAAAGCTGATTCGCTGTCTTTTGGATGTCATACTAGTCAACCAGTAGTGGGAACGCCCACTTGCGACCTCATCGCCAGCGCCTGGCGACTTGCAGCGACAAAGTCGCGTGTAGTGTGAACGGGGCTTTCGGCCGTGTGTCCCATAGATATCCATAATAAAGGCTAGATGTCTTACGGCGGAGTCTCTATCGTCATCACCGGCGGCCATCTTGTCACAGGCAAGCTTTCTGGCGGGCTCTGTGGTGCCTGATGTAAGATGAGTGATCAGCACGAACACAGATACTCTTATCTCGTTGAAATCTTGACGGATTTACAAACGGTTTGGTTTCTTACAAACGTTATTAACGTGGCTATAATTCTGGATGATTATTTATTGATACACTTATTATTCATAAGTATGCAGTGTCATAACTACATCTCTGACGTTTATAACAAACCAAACCGTTTGAAAAACGGTAGAAAATTGAGCAAGTTATGTAAGGAATAATTGACGACAGGCCGTTGAATTATTAGAAAAATAATGCATACCCGAGGTGGTAATGCGGTCACGACGCGAAGCGGAGTGGCCGTTACACCTCGGGTGTGCATTATTTTTCTAATAATTCAACGGCCTGAAGTCAATTATTCCGCTTATACTACAGTTACCACACCTCAAAACATTGTTCAGATGATGCATTTCAAGACGTTTGTCAAGTTTTTGTCATTAAAACGCTCTTGAATGTAGGACTAATTTCTTACGCATCTAATCCCATGCCTCCGTTGCTAATTCCAAAATGTCATTTTAGAGTTAGTAACGGAGGTTTGAGCCACTGATAGCAGACTAATGATGGGGACACACTTACGACTCGCTGAAACATTCGAAGACTGACTGTTTCCATCGACTGTAGCAGGTCTTAAACACAGACTGTGAACAGACTGAACGCGCTGAACACGTGTTTGGGCATGTAATAAGTATCAAATTACATTCATAACTGGCCTTATAATCAGTGTGTCCCGGCTTTATGCAGTTATTAATGCCGTTTTTAGAGAGAGAGAGAGAGAGAGAGATGTTGCAATAATGAGACAGAAAAGCATGTGCGTCAATATTATTATTTATTTATTAATTAAATTTGTTTTAATTAATTCGTTCATTCTTGTTTTCTATAATTGACAGTAGATAACCCAATAAATGAAACACACAAAGCCCTTTTAACAAGTAGGCCTATCAATAATTATTTATTTGTTATATTATCTGGAATAATTACGAAAACCCAGCAGGACTATCAATTTATTTATATAGCCTATTCAATTTAATTTTCTATTTAGCCTATAGATAGGACTACATACTTTATTTATTAAAATTAAACTGTATGTGTCCATTGATTGTGAAGTTAGACATAGAAAATTGCAGATCAAGTGCATGGGGCTGCATGTTTTTTCTTGTTATGAATTGTATCCTATTTTCCGTTATTACGCGCAGTGATATGGAACTGTAATGCGGTCAAACCTGCCTGGAACTACTTTAGCCGTGCGTTTCCCTGAAAATAATTGCACACCTTAGAACGTTCTCAACCAATCAGAATCAAGCATTCAACAGCCCTGTAGTATAAGGTTATTTAAAAAGTACATGCACCATTAAAGCACAATGTTTTGAGTGAGCGAGCTGCCTGTGGCAAGATGGCCGCCAGGTGCGGACGTCGACCTCCATTGGCCAGCAGCGCGGACGAGACATCTAGCCTTTATTATGGATATCTATGGTGTGTCCACCAAAGCGCTTTTAGCTAGCTGAAAACGCTAGACGCTCTGCTGAAAACGCCGAGCTGTGGGCGCTTGAGAGTGTTTTTTCCGTTGAGACGTTTCGTTGCTATGATACAGAATATCTGCAGCACAGTTTACTTGTAACTGATTTCGCAGATAATTTGTTTCATACTAAAAATGTATTTGTCATCCATTTTGTTCGGTTAGCTCTGCTGGTTGATGTTGTTGTACAGAAAGAATGTTGTGACAGTTGGTCGGTGTGGTATTTGCCCCGCCCCTCCTCCACTGTGATTGGACGGCTGGGTAAAAAGTGACAGTGATGAGCGCTGCGTTTTACCCAAAGTTGAACATTCTTCAACTCTCGGCGACCTGTAAAAAACGCTCAGCGCTTCAGCATGAAAAAAACGCCTCCTTATGCTCATGGCGTTTTAAAAACACGGCGCTCACATTGAAAACAATTGAAAACATACGCCAGGCGCGTGAAAAACCGCTTTGGTGGACACACGGCCTTAATCTGAGAATCTTTTTTATTTCATTTTTATATTTTTAATGATAATAATTATATATACACACACACTCTCTCTCACTCTACAGGTCAAAAGTTTGGAATCAAATTTCCAAACATTAAATCAATTTTAATGTTTTTTCTTAAAGAAGTCTCTTATTATAAAATAACTTTTTCTATTGTAATGTAATGTATGTTCAAATGTAATTCCTGTCCTGTAATCTTCAGCATCATTACTCCAGTCTTCAGTGTCACATGATCCTTCAGAAATCATTCTAATATGATTTGATGCTCACAAAACATTTATGATTATTATCAGTGTTGAAAACAGTTTTTCTGTTTGAGGTAAGATGTATTTTCTTAAAGGAAACTCATGGTTTTATTCAGCAAGGACACTTTACATTTGATCACTTAAGACTGAAAATTCAGCTTTGCATCACAGCAATAAATTACATTTTACAATATATTACAATAGAAAACTGTATTTTTGATCAAATAAATGCAGCCTTGGTGAGCAGAAGAGACTTCTCTCAAAAACAGTACAAATCCTAAATCCTTTTGACCGGTAGTGTAGCCTATGCAATTTCATATTTGTGTATTTTTACTAAAATATTCAAAGAGAACAAGGTCACTGATTTGTGTTTACAGTAACTTCATGTTTTATGTTGTTAAGGAACTCTTCCACCAATATCCGAGAAAATAGGCCAACTGACCTGCAGCTGATCCATGAAAGATGTCATATATGAAGGTCTTCTCCTGGGAAGGAAGGTCATAGAGGAATCCTGGTGCATTATGGGAGAGGATGGATCCTTCAGAGGGGTTAGAAAGTTCAAAACTGAGTCTGATTTCCTTTACTGTATGTAAAAGGATGTAAAAGTAGAATTTTTCTATACAGCCAAATTGATTTCTGTGACTTTACCGAAATTCTTTGAACGGGAAAATCGGATAACTAGTTCTCGCACTTTAATATACGGAAGCGTATTGCATTCACTTGAAGAAAAAAAATCTACTCTGTTTTTCTGAATTAATGAGTTAATTATCTCAGAATTACAAGATAATTTTTCATAGAAATTTTTTTTTTTGCTCTGTTTTTCTGAATTAACGAGTTAATTATCTCAGAATTACGAGATAATTTTTCATGGAAAAAAAGTTTTTGCTCTGTTTTTCTGAATTAACGACTTAATTATCTCAGAGCAAAAAAAAATTCCCTGAAAAATTATCTTGTAATTCTGAGATAATTAACTCGTTAATTCAGAAAAACAGAGCAAAAACTTTTTTTCCATGAAAAATTATCTCGTAATTCTGAGATAATTAACTCATTTATTCAGAAAAACAGAGTAATTTTTTTCTTCAAGTGAATGCAATACGCTTCCGTATTAATATCCGTATAGACATTCACACACACACACACACACACACACACACACACACACACACACACACAAAGACGCGCTCTTAATGCTTTCTAGGGTTAATCCTGAACTTGTAAAAGCAAGGTCAACATGTGAAGGATCTCAGCACTTAATCTAGTCACACCTTGACCAAACATGTTTAGAGCGCCGGCCGGACTTTACTATCAGAATTACCACAGCACTTTAAGAGATCACCTAGAAAAGTGTCTTTTTTTCAACTAAAAGAATATTGTTTTGTCTTAAGGTCCTGTCAAATACAAAAAAGGAAGCAGACTGAGAGTTTGAAATCCTACAATGATCCATCCCTGCTCCTTTACTTAACTAGATGAAAAGGCAAGTGTCGGTAAGCCCTTTTTTATTAATAACAAACTATTTGAATGATGCTGAATTGAAAATGACATGTAAAATGTGTATAACCAGCAGGAGAGCAGTGACGTGTAAACTGAATTTGGAGACTACATTGTGTAACATTAATGACTTTTTTGTAGTAAGGCTTTCGGGTTTGCACTTTGCAGACAGTAAAGTATATGAAATAACCACAATATGTTGAATATGAGAAGCTCACAGCAAACAAAGTGATCCCACATGGCATCATAATTACCCATCATCATGCAGGAAAGTAGAAGTCAGACAAACACAGCTTCTGTTCACTCTTGACGTGCTATTGTTGACGTGCACCCAGTGAAAGCCCCTGTTAGTGTTGATTTCCTCGTGTGTGTCGGGTTGTGGAATATCTGAGAACTGAGATGTGACGTATAATAATCTGGTGATAGTGCGAGTTAGCCATAAACTGTAAAAGTGAAGCGCCTCCAGCTGGTGAATGTGGGAACTTACAACAACAACAACTAAAACATTCCTCTCTGGGCTTTTGACCATGAGAATGAAATTTGGAGGAGCCCCATAAGCATTTGTTTTATTTAAATATTATTGTTAAATTACAAAATATTTATTGTTAAATCTAAAATAACATTACTATTTTTTATGTTTTTGACAGAAGTCTCTTCTGCTCATCACGACTGCATTTATCCTTTCGGACTTGTCTCTCGGCCGGCTGCTCATAGAGATATTATAAAGCTCATTTTGAGGAAAATTGGATGTAGCTCGTTGTCTACGTTACTATGATTGGAAAGAGGAGTCTTTGTGTTTTAACAAGGTTTAGCTCAGGTCTTATTGATCTGGGAAGTTTGAATCTGTGAATATATTGGCCACTTTATTGAACTCCTTGAACTAAGAACTGGCTGTATTTCTTTATACTCAAGTCCAAGTTCAAAATAAAACACTATGAACCGCTCCACTGTTAACGTCCTGAGCTGAAACACTGCCAGCGGGACCATAACCAGGAGGTGTTTGTCCGAACTCACAAGTTTTATGAGAGAACGCAAAAGCTTTGAAAAGTATTTTTATATATTTTTTCCACAACCATGTCCCTTTAAGGGCTCCGTACATTAATAACAGTCCTGTTTTGCTGAACTAATGTGGTTCCTCAAACGACAGAGGTACTTTGGTTTGGGAAGTTGGTCAGTTTCTCCAATGATGAATCGTACTATGATAGTTAATCAGCGAGTTAGATCGTTATACGAGAAACAACACAACACTGTTTACTTCCTGTCTCTATGAAGCCCCTCCTTCTGAAAAGCACACAGTGCTCTGATTGGTCGGCTGGAGCAGTGTGTTGTGATTGGTCGAGCACTTCGAGTGTGTTTGGGAATTGCCCCGCCCCTTACCATAACCACCAGTATAACACACTACTAACTAACTCAACCAGGCCCCGCCCCTTTATTCTGCGTATGAATTATTTAAATGAGGAATATTGTGACGTGTTCGTTCCCGGGAGAAACTCAAGACTACAATGGAGGCGTTTCAGGAGTTCAGAAACACTGACACTGATATAGAGAAGAACTGTGTGCTTTGAAACTTTGCAGAGCTTCAAACAGCATTATACCACGGGCTGTTTAAATACTCGATTCTGATTGGCTGGAAGGTGTGCAGTAAAACCGTTTAATGCACAGGTAGTTCCAGTCAGTTTGATTACAGTTCGAAATTAATCCGCTACTATAAACATTGGTAACCATAGTAACAGAGTTACACTTGCAAAAGAGTGAGAGAGAGACACATATGAAAACGTTAGGTAGGCTCAGAGCCATAGAGAGAAAGAGTTGCGACGCTCTTTGATCGCTCGCGACGGCTGTCACGTTGTTTAGGTAAAACCCAATAGTTCCAAAACATACGCGGGCTGTCATGTTCTTCTATGGGACAGACAGCAGCGATTGCATTATTGTCCGGTAAATATAAAATAAAACACACACCCAAGTACTTTTTCAGCTGTTACTGCATTATTGCATTTTGTTAATGTCAGTTATGCATTTGGAGAGGCAGGGTGACAACGAAATAGCCTACTACTGTATATTACTTAGATACGTTTTAGGCTTTTTTTTTTTTTTTTTTTAGGGAAAAGACATAGCTAGATAAGATCGAAGACGACAAATATGAGGTCAATACAAAAAAGACAACTAAATGGGCAGTTAACACTTTCAGTGACTTGTTGCACCAAAGACAGAACAATTGTGATTTCGAGACCTAACGTTACTCTGCTTCTCTTTTAAATGAGACATTTCGGGAGTTTTATGCCTCTGTTCAGTCTACCGCTGGACGCGAATACAGTGTTGCAAGTTTGATGCGTCTCAGAGCAGGTATAAACCGTCACATTACAAAATACAACATCATAAGGGATAAAGACTTCAAGTCAAGCAATGCCGTCTTTAAATCAGTTTTAAAGCGCTACAGGAAAAATGGAAAAGACACCAGCGTTCATCATCCGCGTAAGAAAAGTTTGGATTGACATACAGCTAATTCATTTAAATAAATGACATGATTAGTTCAAATAAAGCTTGCCTTGTCACTGTCAGTGTTGCCTATCATTCATAAATAATTTTAATAAATCCATGAATCATTAAGTTAGCTATAGGCCTATATGCTTAAGCAACGAGGGGACTGTAGACTTTAAAGAAGAGACGCTCATAGGTAACTCGCGCACGCATCTCTCTCTTTCTTCTCTTTCAGTTCTCTGTCTCTCTCTTTTAATAATGAATTTAAATAAATGTGATAATTCATTTAAATAAAAGCAATCCGATGGCTCTACTTTATTTAAAGCGGACGGAGTGCTAGAACTAACCAGCCGTAACTTAAGAAAATAACCGTCATTTTTACACGTCTGTTAAAAAATTACATTGTAAACATCAGTTACAGCTTTAACTTCTTATTAACTTGGCAAATAACCTAGGTATAAGCAGGGCCGCATTAAGAGCTCACTGGGCCCCGGGGCTATGAGCTCTGCAGGGCCCCCCCACCACCACTTTAGGTTACCAACTACATGAGCTAAATGTTCTATCATTATACGAGTCATTTTATTCATCTATGATATACTTCACAGTTAAGTTATATTACTTTTAATACGATTTTTTATCATATCAAAATTTTATGCCACTAAAATTTCATAATTCTTGTGACCAATTTCAATATCACAAAAAATAATAGTAGCTTAAGAAAAGAATCTCAAGCTTACTGATGACAAGAGTCACAAATAACAATAGAACAAAGGCACATAAGAAATCGACCTACTTGAAAAACTTAAAGCACTGAATAATATTATATTGTATAAAGTAATCAAATATTCAATACATAGTTTTCACTATAAATTCAACATTCATTCTTATTAATTTTACAAAAGTGATTCAGTCAAGGGCAGTAAATTACTTTATTTCTGATGTTTCATCATTGACACAAATGGCGACAGCAGCTTTATTAGTAGCTTCTGTCACTTTAAGACCTCAGGGTCGGAACTCAAGTGCGCTGTGCAAAACCGTCTCAAGTTCACCATGGTCTCAAAACCAAAATGAATTCTCTCCCGCTGCTTACTGTGCCTGAGCAGTTTAAAATAATTTGCGTGGGGTCCGGATAACAGGAAAGTACCATAATTTGTATCCAAACCACAATGCTTAAAAACGCGTTTAAATTATAGCCTAACTTGTATCATGATGGCGCAGGAAAATGTACATATTTCTACCGGATATATTATCGCCAGCCCTTTAGGCGAAAATTGATCAAACACAAAAAGCATCATACATCCATCAAGTTAATAATCAAACTTACCGAAAATTTGTGGGGTCGATGATGACGCATGTGTTTTAAGAATAGTCTAGAATGAAGTGAAGAGTGGAGGCGATTGATTGGTTGATGCGTATATTCCAAAGTCCTTTTATAAATAGTCTCTGGTATATTCTAATAAGGCACAGACAGCCATCTATAGGCCTACGTGCAGCAGCAGGTAGATCGTTCACAAGTAAATGTATTTGTTATATCAAATTAAAACGTGACGTTTCAATTCACCATGCCCTGCTGCCCACGGGGGTTTGATTGACAGGCGAACTGGCCAATCATAAC